AAGCAAGGGGATATCTCGAATTCTCACAAAGGGAGGCTTCAGAAGAGCCGACAGCACTAAGTTCAAATCCCATGGTGGTAACTGGGACCGCACAGGGGGACCATATGATGCACCCCTGAATGAAAGTGCAAACCAAAGAACATGTGGCCAAGGGACTCTGAAAAAAAACAACCAGAGTAGAAACTTGATCTTGACTCATGTCCAGCAAAGCTTTGCCAGTGTTGAGTCACTTGAAGTTACCAGCCAATAAGGCTGTAAATATCCAACCCGTGCCCTGTATTGTACTCCAAGATATAGAATTTACAGGTAAGTAACACATCCCTCTTTTCCTCCAATATTTAAATGGTGTACACAATATCAACACCTGAGTATATATACAGTACATCATGCCTCTCAGAGGTTGGACACTAAGCAAAACCAACCATTGCCAAATGTAGTGACCATTTCCCTGCATATATGGAACAAATTCAGCAAGTAGTAAAACTTACAGTAAAAGAACAGTCCAGTCACCTCTCCACTCGACAAAACTGACAAAAAGATGAATAATGGGATGTACAGCAAAGGAACGGTCAGCTTTCCAAGAAATATAACAACTGTGGAAGCAACGCATATTAATGGGATGTGAAGGATTTGTGTTCCCTAATGAACTACTCTTGTAGAAATTATGATTTCTGTACTTGCTGTAAAATCCCTAGATCGAAGGCCATTGAATTTAGGGATGAGCGCAGGATGCTATCGCTGTGGACAGCCAGTCATAAGTGGAGGAGGCATTTCCCCCCCACAATCACACATTGTCATACATATGTGTGGCTGCCGGGAGAAGATGACTTGCTGCCGCAGCTTCCTTGTGGGATAGCTCTGGCAGTTTCATACTCCTGTCTGAACACGCCTAAGGTGGTGGAAGCACACAGGACACCTACAGGAGGATTGGAGACTAATGAACAAATACTGTAGGCCAACCCTATGGTGTTCAACTCTTCCCACAAACAGGGATTTTGTTCATTGTGATAGCAAAAAAAGTGATTAAAAAGAAAAAAAAATTAAGTTCCAGTGTAAAAAAAAAAAAAAAAATCCAAATTGTTACAGTGCCCCATCCCACCGTGCTTGTGCGCAAAAGCGCACGTTTGTCCTGCACACATACAGATGAAACTTGAAAAATTAGAATATCATGCAAAAGTTCATTTATTTCAGTAACGCAACTTAAAAGGTGAAACTAATATATGAGATAGACTCATTACATGCAAAGCAAGATAGTTCCAGCCGTGATTTGTCATACTTGTGATGATTATGGCTTACAGCTCATGAAAACCCCAAATCCACAATCTCAGAAAATGAGAGTATTACATGCAATCAATAAAACAAGGATTGTACATAGAACAATATCGGACCTCTGAAAAGTATAAGCATGCATATGTACTCAGTACTTGGTTTGGGCCCCTTTTGCAGCAATTACTGCCTCAATGCGGCGTGGCATGGAAGCTATCAGCCTGTGGCACTGCTGAGGTGTTATGGAAGACCAGGATGCTTCAATAGTGGCCTTCAGCTCTTCTGCATTGTTCGGTCTCATGTCTCTCATCTTTCTCTTGGCAATGCCCCATAGATTCTCTATGGGGTTCAGGTCAGGCGAGTTTGCTGGTCATTTAAGCACAGTAATCCCACGGTCATTGAACCAGGTTTTGGTGCTTTTGGCAGTGTGGGCAGGTGCCAAGTCCTGCTGGAAAATGAAGTCAGCATCCCTATAAAGCTCGTCTGCAGAAGGAAGCATGAAGCGCTGCAAAATCTCCTGGTAGACGGCTGCGTTGACCCTGGACTTAATGAAGCACAGTGGGCCAACATCAGCAGATGACATGGCTCCCCAAATCAACACAGACTGTGGAAACTTCACACTGGACTTCAAGCATCTTGCAGTGTGTGCCTCTCCATTCTTCCTCCATACTCTGGGTCCTTGGTTTCCAAATGAGATGCAAAAGTTGCTCTCATCAGAATAGAGGACTTTGGACCACTGAGCAACAGACCAGGTGTGTTTTTCTTTAGCCCAGGTAAGACGCTTCTGACGTTGTTTGTGGTTCAGGAGCATCTTGACAAGAGGAATACGACATTTGAAGCCCATGTCCAGGATCCGTCTGTGTGTAGTGGCCCTTGATGCACTAACTCCAGCCTCAGTCCACTCCTTGTGAAAGTCCCCAACATTTTGAATGGCCTTTTCCTGACAATCCTCTCCAGGTTGTGGTCATCCCTGCTGCTTGTGCACCTTTTTTTCTTCCACACTTTTCCCTTCCATATAACTATTTTTACTTTTACCCCCTTCCTGACCAGGGCAATTTTCAGCTTTCAGCGCTATCACACTTTGAATGACAATTGCGCGGTCATGCAACACTGTACCCATATGAAGTTTTTACCATTTTTTTGAGACAGATAAAACTTTATTTTTGGTGGTATTTATTCACCGCTGGGATTTTAATTTTTTTTGCTATGTAAATTAAAATGTACAAAAAATTTGAAAATAAAGTGTTTTTCTTATAAATGTTTGCAAATAAATAATATTTCATCATAAATCGTGGCCAATTATCTTTTTAGTAGTAAAAAAAAAAAAATAAGCCAAATTAGTTTACCAAAAATTATAATTTTTAAACTTTTTTTTTACATTTTATATTTTTTTTTAATTTTTTTTTTTTGTGATCATTCACATATTTCACACGTAGTAAGCAATTATGTCAGAAGTGACATCTTGCTTACTACTTTGCATGTGATCACTGATTGGCCGACGATCGGTGTTTCACTGTGTCTGGAGGACACAGCGGGCACCGGATCTTGGTGCTGCACGCTCCCGGGGAGCGCACACAAGCAAGGTGCGGGGATGCCGTTTATAAACGGCCACCCGACCCTGCAGTGCCACCGTCTGGCCGTTTATATACAACAACCTGTCGGGAAGTGGTTAATGTGCTTTGATAGAGCACTTTGGGAACATCCAACTTCTTTTGCAATTACCTTTTGAGGCTTTCCCTCCTTCTGGAGGGTGTCCATGATGGTTTTCTGCACAACTGTCAGGTCAGCAGTCTTTCCCATGATTGTGATTCCTATTGAACCAGACTGAGAGACCATTTAAAGGCTCAGGAACCCTTTGCAGGTGTTATGGCTTAATTAGCTGATTAGAGTGGGACACTTTGAGCCGAGAAAATTGCACCTTTTCACAATATTCTAATTTTCTGAGATTATGGCTTACAGCTCATGAAATCCCCAAATCCACAATCATCACAATTATGACAAATCACGGCTTGAACTATCTTGCTTTGCATGTAATGAGTCTATCTCTTATATTAGTTTCACCTTTTAAGTTGCATTACTGAAATAAAAAACTTTTGCACGATATTCTAATTTTTCGAGTTTCACTTGTATGTAATTAGTGATTGCACCACACATGTGAAGTATCGCCATGAATGTCAGATTGAGAGCAATCATTCTAGCACCAGACCTCCTGTGTAACTCCTAAACTGGTAATCTTAAAGGCTTTTAACCACTTCCTGGCCAATAGAAAAATGATGGCCGGGCGGGACTCTCATCGATCCAGGAGGGAGTCATATGTCGTTGTTCCCGCAGGGCCACGCTGTGGCGAGATCTGTCACTGGCTGTGTATCTCGGACACAGCCGAAGACAGATCTGTGTGCCGACCCCGTTTGCATTACCATGTGACCTGCTGTGACCAATCACAGCAGGTCACATGGCAGGTGTAAACAATGGACAGCTTCCTTTCATGCCATTCATTGCATACAAGTGTGTCTAGCTGTGAATGGTCACAGTGATCACATGCAATCACAACCCATCTGTGTCATGTGATTAGCCGTGGCCAATCACAGCTAATCACAACAAAAAAACCTGAATGCATCGATTTCATTCAGTTAAATGCTTGCTTATCAAATTGTGTAAAAAAAAAATACTGATCACTTCCCCCACAGTAAAAATGGCACCAAATTAAACTATGTACAATCAAGGTTATAGGCAGAAGCGCTGGCTTTGGTGAAACTTTGGCGAGTCATATGCCTATCCCCTGGGGTCCAAAGGAGCATTAACACACAGGGCCCAGGATAGGGCTGTTAGCTCAGACTCCCTGCAGCAGGAAATCATCTTCTAGGAACAGGAGCTTTAGGGACAAACCTCATTGTAGCTTCTACCTCCTTGATGAGCATACCCCCAGAGGACTTCAGAGGCAGGGCTCTGCGCTAGGCAGGCCACGATCCTGTAAAACATCCTGCATTTCACTATGTGGCAAAGGCAGTGTCTACAGCAGGATCCTGTGCACCCAGCAACATTACAGGCCAGCCCCCATCTTCATCCAAAAAGGGTCTGGGTAAGGGCCTCCAAAGCTCAGCAGTGGAGTCAGTAAATCTGGAAGCTGCATTAGGAAGCCACAGTGACTATGTTGTAGCCAAACATTTTGATAAAAAAAACTCTTTGAAAGCCAAAATCTCCATAAAGTAGAAGCAAGCTGCAAGCTTCCCAGTAGAAAAAAAAGATATTCATCAGCTAAGAACCCTAGCAAAAAAAAAAAAGAAAAAAGGGCTATCTGGGAGTGCAAGGGGGTTATAGGGCTCTGCAGCTTTTCTTGTTTGACATTAGAGGATGTGCAGAATACTGCTGCTTTTGTTCTCCATTAACCCTGCGTTATATGCTGCCACCACCAGGTTAATGAATACTGTGTACCATATGATTAAGAGTTTACACATGTCATCAATCAATTGAAGTACACTGCTGCATTTGTTGTTGTTGTTTTATTTTAAAATTTTAAACAGTCACAATACACAAATAACTTAAACCATTCAAACAGGCATTTTCAGGGTAGGTGCCAGAATTTTCTGTATGTCAGGACACAGCTCTGTACAAGGTGGTGCAGATGGGGACACTATGGGAATTATATATTTGCCAAGTGCTGCATACACCCCGGGGGTCATGGCACAGGGCAGAGACAACACAACTGTTTTGTACGATTATGCACAAATGACTATTTAGTCAAACAGCAAGTCTTCATCACGGTCTTCGGCAAGAAGATTGACTGGTTCAGGACCTCCTGATTTATTCCACTTTGCACGCTCCTTCTCTGCCTTCTCTTTGATAATTTTTTTCTTCTCTTGAATCTTTTTTAACCTAGAGAAAGCATTACATTATTAGACAGGTGAAATTTTTTAAACTGACACAAACCTCCCCCCCCCCCCCCACCAAAAAAAAAAAAAAAATTAATTTGGTCAGATGTGCACTTCCATGCATATTCACTTTTAAAAAGGTTATTTTTTTATCCCCTGAATACCAACCAACCAACTCAATATCAGCCCTTACTTTCCTGGCCAGTTTTAGTTTGACCCTGTAGCCAATTTTTTTAAATATTTTTATTTAAAGTAAAAAATAAATAAATAATAAAAGGAAAAAGGTCTAACAATTAGGTATTAAAAATGTTTCTCTTTCTTTCCATTTGAAATAAAAATGTCAGGACATTAGGACACAAACATCACCACCAAAAAAAAAGGATATACTTTTTTGGAAAGTAGACACCCAAAGATGTTTATTGCCACAGATTTTTGGAAATAACCACCTCAATATCAACATTTCTCTTTAACCGCCTCCCGCCGGCCATAGAATTCCTTATGACGGGCGCAAGGCGGTTCTCTCGTAACCGCGTGAGTGGTGGTGCGCTGTGTCCCTGGGACCAGCGGATCACCGCTCAACAGAAAGAGCCAAAGACGTCGGCTCTGTCATGTGATCAGCTGTGTCCAATCCCAGCTGATCGCATGTAAATAAGGAAATGCCGGTTATCGGCATTTCTCTACTCACGCTGACAGCTCGTGAGGACAGGAGAACCGGTGATCAGCATTACTCAGAGGAGAAATGTACACTGATCATCAGGGCACGGATGATCAGTGTTCCCTGATGATCAGTGTCACCTGTCAGTGTCCATCAATGCCAACTGCCAGTGCCACATCAATGCCACATATCAGTGCCTACCAGTGCACATCAATGCCACATATCAGTGCCTACCAGTGCACATCAATGACACATATCAGTGCCCATCTGAGCTGCCTTTCAGTGCCACCTATCAATGCCAGTCAGTGCTGCCAATCAGGGCCACCTATCAGTGCCACTTATCAGTGCTGCCTATCAGTGCCATATATGAGTACTGCCTATCAGTGCCGCCTATCAGTGCCCATCACTGCAGCCTCATTAACGCATATCAGTGAAGGAGAAAATTTTTATAACAGAAACGAAGAGAAAATTTTTTTTTTTCAAAATTCAGTTGTTTTTGGTTTGTTTAGCAAAAAATAAAAAACCCAGAGGTGATTAAATACCACCAAAAGAAAGCTCTGTCTCAAAAAATGATAAAAATTTCATATGGGTACAGTGTTGCATAACCACGGAATTGTCACTCAAAGTGTGAGAGCACTGAAAGCTGAAAATTGGCCTGGGCAGGAAGGGGGTATAAGTGCTCTGTAGGCAAAAGGTTAAGGTACATTTAGCACCTTATCGCACTTGTGTCCCCGATCGCCACACAGCAGCCCAGTGTCCCCGATTGCCACACAGCGGCCCAGTGTCCCCGATTGCCACACAGCGGCCCAGTGTCCCCAATCGCCACACAGCGGCCCAGCCAGTGTCCCTGATCACCACACAGCGGCCCAACCAGTTTCCCTGATCGACGCACAGCGGCCCAGCCAGTGTTCCTGATCGCCGAACCGTGGCCAAGCCAGTGTCGCTGATCGCCATACAGTGGTCCAGTGTCCTTGCACCATCACCATACAGTAGCCCAACCAGTGTCCCTGTTAATACAGTGACCCTGATCACCGCCACACCAGTGGATCCTGTTCACCGCCATCGTCTGTGAGGAGAGAGATCCAGTACAGTACATGCTTCATGCATGCGCAGTAGGAAAGTGGCTCTGACGCCACAAGGCGTCACTGCCAGTTTTACCCTTAGTCAAGATGGCGGCACCAGCACCTGACAGCCGACTGAAGATTCGTCTCAGCTGAGGATACCACCGGATCCCTGGACAGGTAAGCACCCCATTATTAAGACAGCAGCTACAGTATTTGTAACTGCTGACATTTAATTTTTTTTTTTTTTTTCTAGGGGGGCCCAAACTCATCTTTAATGAATGGATTCATTCGTTAAGTCCTCCTCCTTCCTGTTTAGTGAAATGAAGGTGCTGGATCAGGGTTAGAAATTAGAAATGTAAACAGTACTCAGAACCACAATCATTGGTGGTCAGTGGCTTTTTTTTTATCCCCTCACCCCTACTCCCTCTTTGATGACAGAGTTGCCCCAGGCACTTTAAAACCCCCTCTAAACCAATCCCATAATATTACAGGGCGGTTGCCCGTTAAACACCCCCTCCCCAATTTGAATAGTAGCCTTCCTCTGCTGCAGTTCTCCTTCACGTGTTGTGAGTTGAAGGAGCGCAAGGCTCTCTAATGTAAACATTACTGATGCTCATTCATCACAGCATTCACAAGGCACAAAGCCACACTGACCAGCTCTGTACCTTTTGCCTATGCTCTCTGCTGTCCAATGACAAAAGCAGCAGTATTCTGCACATGCACTAATGTAAACAAAAAGGTTGTATTTAAACGGCCTGTCAGAATAACTGCTCCCTCTAGCAGCCATTTTACTACAATGGCCTGTAGTGGGGTGGTTAAACATGAATGAGCATATTATTATGCAAACAAACATTCTCTAATCCAGCTTTACGCTGGCCATACAGTACCTTGAAAAAGTATTCACACCTCTTGAAATCTTCCACATTTTGTCATGTTACAATCAAATACGTAAATGTATTTTATTGGGATTTTATGTGAGAGACCAACACAAACTGGCACAAAGTGGAAGGAAAATGACAAATGGTTTTCAAAATTATTTACAAAGAAATATCTGAAAAGCATTTGTAGTCAGTCCCCTTTACTCTGATACCCCTAACTAAAATCTAGTGGAACCACTTACCTTCAGAAGTCACCTAATTAGTAAATAGAGTCCACCTGTGTGTAATTTAATCTCAGTATAAATACAGCTGTTCTGTGAAGCCCTCAGAGGTTTGTTAGAGAACATTAGTGAACAAACAGCATCATGAAGACCAAGGAACACACCGGACAGGTCAGGGATAAAGTGGATAAATTCAAAGCTTGGGATATTTTTTTTATAACCTAACCCTGCTTTAAACATGAAGCAAGAACAACTGCAAATCTACCAAGACATGGCCATCTACCTAAACTGACAGGCCGGGCAAGGAGAGCATTAATCAGAGAAGCAGCCAAGAGGCCCATGGTAACTGTGGAGGAGCTGCAGAGATCCACAGCTTAGGTGGGAGAATCTGTCCACAGGACAACTATTAGCCGTGCACTCCACAAATCTGGCCTTTATGGAAGAGTGGCAAGAAGAAAGCCATAAGAAGTCCTGTTTGCAGTTTGCAAGAAGCCATGTTGAGGACACAGTAAACGTGGAAGAAGGTGCTCTGGTCAGGTGAGACCAAAATTTAACTTTTTGGCCTAAAAGCAAAATGCTATGTTTGGCGGAAAATAAACACTGCACATCACCCAGAACACACCAACCCCACTGTGAAACATGGTGGTGGCAGCATCATGTTGTGGGGATGCTTTTCTTCAGCAGGGTCAGAGTTGATGGGAAGATGGATGGAGCCAAATACAGGGCAATCTTAGAAGAAAACCTGTTAGAATCTGCTAAAGAGGTTCACCTTCCAGCAGGACAACAACCCTAAACATACAGCCAGAGCTAGAATGGAATGGTTTAGATCAAAGCATATTCATGTGTTAGAATGGCCCAGTCCCACGGACATGGCGGATCATGTGACATGGTACAGGACCAATGAAATCGGTCCTATACCATGTGATCAGCTGTGTCCAATAAGGACACAGTCTAAATGTCAACAGAAGCTGCATGGTGCGGCTTCCGGCTCCTCCTCACATGGAGTTCTGTCTGTGAGAGGAGAAGGAGCCGATAGCCAATGTGAGAAGAAAACAAACTGCCCTCCACCTCAGTGACACCTGATCACCACACAGTGGCCCAGCAGTGTCCCTAATCGCCACATAGTGGCCCAGTAGTGTTCCTGATCGCCACACAAGTGGCCCAGCAGTGTCCCTGATTGCCGCAGTGGCGAGCAGTGTCCCTGATCACCGTAGTGGCCCAGCAGTGTCCCTGGTCACCACACAGTATCCCTGATCACCGCAGTGTCCCTGATCGCCACACAGTGGCCCAGCCAGTGTCCCTGATCGCCGCACAGCGGCCCAGCCAGTGTCCCTGATCGCCGCACAGCGGCCCAGCCAGTGTCCCTGATCGCCTCAAAGCGGCCCAGCCAGTGTCCCTGATCGCCTCACAGCGGCCCAGCCAGTGTCCCTGATCGCCTCACAGCGGCCCAGCCAGTGTCCCTGATCGCCTCACAGCGGCCCAGCCAGTGTCCCTGATCGCCGCCCAGCCAGTGTGCCCGATCGCCTCACAGCGGCCCAGCCAGTGTCCCTGATCGCCTCAAAGCGGCCCAGCCAGTGTCCCTGATCGCCGGCCAGCCAGTGTGCCCGATCGCCTCAAAGCGGCCCAGCCAGTGTCCTTGATCGCCTCAAAGCAGCCCAGCCAGTGTCCCTGATGGCCGGCCAGCCAGTGTGCCCGATCGCCTCAAAGCGGCCCAGCCAGTGTCCCTGATCGCCACCCAGCCAATGTCCCCGATGGCCGCACAGTGGCCCACCCAGTGTCCCCGATCGCCACACAGCAGCCCAGTGTCCCCGATTGCCACACAGCGGCCCAGTGTCCCTGATTGCCACACAGCGGCCCAGTGTCCCCAATCGCCCACACAGCGGCCCAGCCAGTGTCCCTGATCACCACACAGCGGCCCAGCCAGTTTCCCTGATCGACGCACAGCGGCCCAGCCAGTGTCCCTGATCACCACACAGCGGCCCAGCCAGTGTCCCTGATCGACGCACAGCGGCCCAGCCAGTGTTCCTGATCGCCGAACCGTGGCCAAGCCAGTGTCGCTGATCGCCATACAGTGGTCCAGTGTCCTTGATCACCATACAGTAGCCCAACCAGTGTCCCTGTTAATACAGTGACCCTGATCACCGCCACACCAGTGGATCCTGTTCACCGCCATCGTCTGTGAGGAG